GTTTGTGGTCGTTGGTGAGTTGATTATATCTGTGTGTGTCGAAAATCATATGTAACATGTGTAATGATGTCAATACCCACATTAAAGGGACAGTGAAGATACCACCTGAAATATCTTCATATATACGATGGGGTCAATATAATCTTTATTTTACTGAGTTGACAATGTACGGTGGTGTACTTGATTTAGCATTGTAGATTGTTTGTCAGTTGTCTGTAAGATTGTGGAATAGTTTGTCGATTGTTTGTCAGTCATTTATTTTTGTGTTCTTGTACTTATTAATTTGAAATAATATTCACGAATTGTATGGCTATGTTGTTATTTCTACATTTTTGAGCATTTTAAAATAATTATTTAATGTATTACACTTTGATAAACACATTAAGATATGATTTGTTTATGAAATAAAAACGAAGTTTTTGCAATAAACGTGAAAACGCCGTCCCTCACAATACAGGCTATTTAAATCTAATGTTTTTTTCCAGTATTTCATCAAACCAATACTGCATGTTTGCTGAAACAATATTTTGATTTTACGATGAATCGTATTAAGAATGTTTTTATCAATATGCAATATGAAACAAAAATATTTACTCGTACTCAGAAATAGTTATGCATCAGAACTCAATTCAGAACTATAACCTAGGGTGACTTTGCAATCGATACATTGAAACGTAATGCACTCCATTGTTATGGGTCCCTTGAGTTTTTTTTTTTAAATCAATTTTTAACTGAACTTCTGTTAAGCGAGCGCAATCTACAACATATCCAAAATGGAAACGTTTAAGGTGTTTACAAAAAAGCAGTCACGTGACAGCTCACTTAAAGATATTTTGATAATCGTATTATAACCTAAGTTCAAAGTCGAGCGAACGATTGAGTTGAACTTCAACAAGAGGATCAACATTAAAATTTCATGTTCGCTTTTGAGTTGATTTTAATCGAGAAATCCTTTCGAAATATCCTAAAAAAAATGCTCGGAAACGAAACAATTTCAATTATTATTTAGTGAGACTCTAATTTTATAAATGACCAGCAGTAAGCACAGAAATTGTAAAACATGAATTTATCTCACTTGCTCACTGAACAAATGATCAGTAACATGCGCAGTAGTGCAAAACTTGACCTCGGTCCAAACTCTCGTAACGTTTAAATGCAAAATTGTCACGTTTAACTGATATAGGCTTAGTAACCACGTTAAGTCCACGCAGGTATAAAATTGTAGAAAAAGAAACTAGAAAATCATACGAATCCCAACATAGATATGACAGAAAATCGAAATCTATTGACAGCTCAGTTTCTGTATTCTCAAATTTTAATGAGCCTGCGATATAAATTCACTAGGTAATTGTATACAATTTATAGTTAAAACGTGTTTTCACAAAAGAAGAAGCACAGTAACTTCATTGACGGTGTTATCATGTGGTATGGTTTCTATGGAAACAAGTATTCAAGTATTGAATCCATTTCCCGAGCAGATGGCGTCTTTCAAAAAACACCTATGAAATATTCATAATCTTAAAAACTTAACTTATCCGCTGACTCAATATCAATTTAAAATTCTGGTTGGTTTGCACTGTAAACAAACTCCCTAGGTTATTTTTATCGCATTCCGTCAGAATTTTAATCTTCATTTGAAGAAAGAATGTGAAGGATTGTTTTAGTAACTATATTTTTGTTGTTGTTTTCCATATTAATAATTAAACGTTTACCATTTCAGAATAGGGACACACTTGTTAATAGAAATGTATTGTAATATATATTACATAGCATAATATCCATACTCTTCATTGCACACAGTGACGTTTCATTTGTCATATATAAATAGTATATGTGGTAACATTGGATTAAAAAGTAGCTTTTATCACGGAGGCCTTCTTTAAGTTCAGTTCGAGACAAAGAGATGAATAATTATATTTTATATTACTCTATGTGTGTATGCGCATTGAACATAGTAATTAGAAAGTGACTAATCCTAGATAATACAAATATTTGACTCCGCTATATATGCCTGTAAAGTTCCGTTTTATATTTAGTAATACGCCTTTCTACTCTGTGGAGTTGAGATTGTTTGTTTGTTCGGCAGAGTGAAAATGTATTGTACTTTAATTTATTGATCGTAACCCGTACGGGTATACTGAAATATTGTCCAATCAGATCGGGCGTTTTGAGCCACGTGACTTGTCAAGCCGGGTCACGTGATTGCCTTTATAAATAGAACTACACTTGACATACTCGACTCATACGAGGTTTGAGTATGCACTTGGTCGCCATGAGAGAGACTGTATGTATTCCATGCAGTGTATTTACAGAATAACGTTCTACGGTTTAATATCAGCTACCCTGCGTTATTCGTGATCAGTATTCTGACAAGTTGATAGAATCGAAGCAGAGAGTACGTTACTAGCAAGACACCTAACGTCATTTGATCAAAGGGCAACAAATAAAAAACAATAAATTTATAACTCCCGCCGAGACATTTTGCAATTAACTAGTAGAAAATGTCGTTAAGATGGGGGGGGGGCAGTGATGAGCCAAACAGTTATTAAAGGCAGACTGAAGCGGCAGACATTTGAGCAGGTTAATTTATGATGGATATTAGCTGTATCCGCGCAGATATGTCAACAATAAATATCATTTCTTTCAGCCGCAAATATTATATTTCCAACTCGATATCACCGTGCTAAACGTACCCGGAAGCAACGATATCCCGTCGATTGTACCGGGTACCTCTAGTTATTGCGAATCCAATTCCCGACTTGTCCCACATTTGCGGATGCTAATTACAGCAACTATTCGCCAGCTCACGAAAGCAATAGAGCAACACCCTTAGGTAAAATGAATTATTATTAGTTCGACTTTAATAGTCCCACCTTTGACCTTTTATTAAACTAGGTAAGATCGGCGTTTTTAAGAAAATGTAAATTTTACTATATTTTTTTCACAAATATTGTTTCATGAAGCAAATCTAAAAAAAAAATGGAAGCGCATATGGCGTGCACAGAGTCTACGACTAAGAAGATAACATAATCTTAACCCGGCAATAACAACGTTAATTGAAAACTTGGAAATAGGATTCCCAAATTGGATTTATAAAAATCTTTTCAAAAGTGCAACACAACGTTATTTAGTTTAATGACGACACAATGTGACAAAGAAAGCACTAGAAGATCACTAGGTGGTACTATTTGGTTTGCAGTTCGAGCCAGACATTATGGTGCCCGATATTAGCTTTAAATTTGTTTCTTTTCCAAACAACAGTCTAATTGCTTTTGACAATTCTACATGTTGACGCGAAGTGTGACGTAGGCCTTGGCGTCTTATTCCAACCGAGGTGTGCGATAGCTGCATAATTTGGTATGCAAATTCGGGGCACTCTAATGTATCCATTGACTACGTCACGTCTGAAAGAGTATAGATTTTGCCGGTGTTACTATGTGTTTTCAATATTTTCCCATAATTAGTAATATAATTAGTTGCGAAGTAATATAACGAAGCCATCGACTATGATGAAATGATTTATTCTATTCTCATATCCTAGTGTATATTATATTCTCACTAGAGTACCAACTTAGAAACAACCTCGCATGCAATTTGACTCATGAATTTTGCAAAATGTAATTAAACACAGTAATGTAAATATTCCACGGATACAATAAAAACATTGACACGAGTGCCTTTATTAATGTTTAATGACAACAAGTATTTTTTCTTTGCTGCCATGTTTCCGATTGGACTCCAAGGCTACCAAGTAAAATACATAAGAAATATATATTGTTGTGGTTCTACGTCATGACTCGCTTTGTATGGAATTGAAAACACATCGCCATTAATTTAAGAATTCTATTAACTGTCACATAATCCATTACGTTGAAAGAAAATAATCTAGAAAACATTTCTCGCTGCAGACGAAGTGCAGGATTTTGTTTAGCGTGTAGCAGCACCAATGGAAGAATAATGCTTTTCATATTATTTGGAACACGAGATTTAAGTCTGAGATAAGAAAACTGTTTATATATCAATGACGTTCAGTCTTATGGTGGTAGGATTATATTGGGATGGCGATAATTATTAAGCGTATTGCGTCACCATAAGAGGGCACGGTAATTACCAAAAGACCATTACATTGCTTTGAAACTCGTTTCCCTGCAGCGGTGGATAACGCCGGGAAACTAAAAATACATGCATATACTCTGGTAAGAGTCATCGCCGAGATTGCACACATAACATACTTGCTAGCCAGCTAGCGATAGAGCGTTGTTCATTCACATCTCATAATAACACACTAATAACATTGAAACGCAGCACCAGCCATTTTTTCACGAATCGTTTCTTTTTTTCACTTTTTTTCTGCGTGTGTTTGTTGACATAATTGATTGATTCTAACGAATTTCGTGTATTATTATTGTGTTTTTACTTGAACGGTCCCGAAAAAACTGTTAGAGATTGTGGTGATGCGAATATATTGTTTCGTGTTTTTTTTTTTTTTTTTGAATCTGTTACCGGTATATTGCAACCGTGATTCAAACCTTTCTAAGAAATGAACTTCAACTACGAAGGCGTCAATAGAACTCCATTAACATGGTGAACGCTGAGCTTAGAATGAATGAGGTGTGCTTGGCTATAACAACACGGACGAGCTTAAGTAACGTATAAGACTCAACACATTTTGGTGAGAAGATCGCATATCATGTTGTAAAACACCAGAGTAGGGGATTAAAGTATAGGGGATGATTACGTGCATGGCGATACAGAAAGCGGTTTGCTGCTTCCCGGAAGACGTATGAAATATGCGATGTGTATATAGCGTGCACAACAAAAACTGTTGTCCCTTACCATGGAGTCCATGTCCAGCCATTGTTGACGATGCCTTTTAGCGAGGTCCTCAGCCATGAATTAGACGAGTTTACATGCACGATGTATTCACTGTTTCACGCAATACGCCCAGAGAGCTATATTCTCGTTAGAATGATTAGGAGCAGAGATTCGCGACCATAACAGAGTGAAACATTTCCGATGTAACTGACTGGCAATAAGAGCAATGGCAATCGCACTGTGCTGTCGGAAGTCACAACGATTACAGTCCGTAGTGTAACGACACTGAGCGTTGATTCATTTGCATACAGTTGCACTACTTGCTCTACCTGAATCGCGCATCTGCATCTCGGCGGGCGCTTGTCATGCAGATTGCGATGCCTGCTACGGAGCACGATTTCATCCAACCCATCAGTTAGAAAAAAAACAACCCGAATGCAATTAATTTACAATTGTCATCGCCCTACTAGTACTTCGTTTTACCCCCGTTTCGTCTCAAAATGATTACATAAGTGTATTCCAAATAGCTAAGCCCCAAATATCCATAGTGATGGTTGCCAGGCAACCGAGTTGAGCACGGTCTTCGATCTTCATCATTTGAACGGATTTACATGTCCCTTGTGTACTATAGTTTTAGTCACTACACTAATTCGAATATAGCTGACATGGCTGACTGATATAATTAATGCATGTAATTTCCATGTCATGTACATAACAAGGTGAACAGGCCAGTCTAAAGTAGTACAAAAATCATTTATTTATTATTAGCACCCGAATGTCTCTGCGATCCCCGTAAGTGCTATGTCGGTACAATAAATTAACTTCTTGCCAAAATATGCTTACCATCAAATGATTTACCATAATGGCGTCCTGCTGTAACATACAGCTATATGAGAGTAGTCGGCAATGTTCTTTGAGACCGTCGATAAAAGGAATTGGCCATTGGTACAATTTTCGTGTGTATGTTTGTGCGTTCAGTGAGTACTCATTTCTCCAATAAAATAACCCTGAAGCTATCTATAACGATCGCTGAAAAGCATAAACATGATTTGCGGAATCACTTATAGACCCGGATGCTTGTTAATTATATTAAACTTTAAAAAAAAATCGTCAGTTTGACTTGTTAGCTCAATCGCACGTGGTTTACCTCTCCGCATTAATGGTATATTTAATATCTGCAGTTTTCATATTATGCTGAGCAGTTGAGTGAATGATGTTGTGTAAATTACAGATATGTAAATTAGAATATAGAAAACTGCCTGAATTGTGTGAGACTGATCTCAGGATTGTGTTTGCTGTGCTATTTCAAACAATTCATTCTATATGTTGATAGTGGGGAAAACTTAACGTAGTGGATACGCTATGTGTAATATAGAAGGCGGTGGCGCGAACCCCGGAAAGTCTATTATGCGCTATTTATTATCACAGCACAAAGACGATTTGCATAAAATTCATTTGCATATCCATATATGTTTGAACTACATGTTCCTTGTGGTTAACGCAATTATGTTCAAGTCACCTGGATACCATAAATCAGATTAATAACACGTTTTTATGCCCTAAATTTAAATGAAATCGTCAGTTAATTTGATCAAATATGTATAATTTGCTTTCAATATTGTAGCCTACTCAAAACTGTCAAGTCATTAAATTATACAATAAATTATTAAATTTATAAACAGGCTAGGTATTTTGTATTCCATAACTGACATGCGCGTAAAATTCGATTTTGTTCAAGCCAGAAATATTATTGAAATATTTACCAGAAAACAAGACAAACGGAGTTGGAAATATATTTGAGTGAACAGTGTTGATGTTTTTTTCCCAATTGGATAATAAACAGTTCCCACAGTTTTTAGTTTATCATGTGCGACATTTCACTCCAGTGACTTTACCTCGCGTTTGTATTTATGTTTCTCCGGAATTTAGACAATAATAAATAGTTCGGTTGTCAGGGACAATTATTTTACGTTTTGTAGTACGTTTACAGGTAAAACACGAAGCGGCGCAATGATCTTGTAATGCTAACCACCCGACAAAGGTCAATGACACCGACAATAAATGGAACACTAATGCAGATAAATGCTTCGCATGTCTGTAATTATTACAATATGCTTATATTTTTGCTATTTTGATGAGAGTGTTACGGCGATTTTTGCCAAGCTTGTATTTTACATTGTTGGAAGATTGTAAGGCTAATCAGAAGTCTGACTTATTTCCATTAAAATATTATTTTATTAAATACAACTTATTAATTTACAAATCTTGATAATAATTCAAAAATAGCGGTTTACAATCTGCATATGAATACAACTGTGGTGCTTTACAAACCTGCTTATGAATAAAACCATATTGGTTAACAAATCTCGATAATAATTCAAACATAGCGGTTTACAATCTGCATATGAATACAACTGTAGTGGTTCACAATCTACATATGAATACAACTGTAGTCGCATACACATCTGTATATGAATACAACTGTAGTAATTTACAATCTGTATATGAATA